CGCCATCTCCTCCCTTCGGGACTTCAACCGCCTCTCCCGGGACCGCCACAGCGCCACCGCGCGCCGCCACCGCGGGAGATCGCAACGTCCCACCTTCAACCGCTGCTTGGGAACTCCCCGCCACGTTTGCAGCCGGGGTTCGGGGGCGATTCAAAGGCGCAAGCACACGTTGCGCAGTCTCATGCGAGGCGGCCCCTTCCTTCGCGCGGCCACCGACGTCCCTCCTTGCCACGTCTCGCGCCATGTCGCGTGCCACGTCGACAAACACTGGTTGGTTGGCCGCGGCAACGCCACCGCCGCGCCGCGCGGTCGGTGTCCCTTCCCCCCCCCTCGTTTATTCTAAACCCCCCCGCGGAGCTAACCCTCGCCTTCCTCTGCAGTGGTTCATCGTCGTCGTTTTCAAAGTCGTCGTCGTCGTTCGCCATCTCTTCCTCCACCACAGCCTCCTCCACAACATCTCGCGCACTGCCAGCGGGCACGGCTTGGACGACCTTCCTCTGCCTCTTCGCTTGATGCCGTCCCTTCTTCGCGGGGACCACGCCTTCCACGATCTGCTTCAAGGCAGCCTTCCCCCGTCCAGCTCCGCGGGAAGACATGGCGGATCCGAAAAAAGCGCCTTCGATCGCGGTCGGTGGTTCGCACAGCTTGCGGACGAGTGCACCGTGCGGCGGCTGGATGATTGCAGGGCGACGAGAATGGAAGATAGAAAATGGAACAGACGGCTATGATTACACAAATGGATTACAGGGTGGCGAATGACGGACAGGGCGACGACGAATGACTGCAAGGGCGACGTCGACGAATGGCAGCACGACGAACGACGGCAGGGCGACGACGACGAATGACGGCAAGACGATTGGCGGACGACAGAAATGGCAGTTAGCGATCGGAGTCCCAGATGGGTACGCGGTCGACGACGACAGTGCCCGTTAACCAAGTTGCGCGGCGGGCGCAGGCGACGGCACAACAGCGCGCGAAAGGCAGAGAAGAGCGCGACAAGAAAGCAGTCCACTGCAGTGCTCGCAATCCATGCGTGCGCTCGAAATGAGTTTGGGGATGAGTGGCCCATGCTCGTGATTTATTGAGCGCGGTGGACGGTGGCTGGGAGTGATGACACGGCGACCTTTCGATGAAAGTGCGACGAGTACTCTCGCCGAACGACGATGGCCTGGAGCACACTGTCGACGGGGAGTGGGAGTGCGATGTGACACCCTCCGTCCATGCAGGCTTGAAAAAAATGGATATCCCCGTGGACAATCGAGAGGGACCCTGCCCCCTTCCGCGTCATCCAGGACCCCCTCCGATAACCCC